TCTAGGCAAATATTGACAATTAATTGCTGTTATGCTGATAACTGTTTTTAAAATTCTGGAGTATATGCAAATTGCTGTTATAAAAACTGAAGCAGTAGACTTTGTAAATAACATTTGAATCATTGTCAAAACTTTTGGCCATGACTGTACAACCATAAACCTCTCTTCACATCATACAAGCTCGTCCACTCAGCCTGTGTTCTTTCAGAGGCGATGTCGAGATTACGGAACCAAAAAGACCAGAGCTTTAGTGGGAAATGTTAGGCACTAATTTCACCAAGGGTTTTAAAAGAATTTTGTAAAAAAAACATTTCAAATAATTTCTTCTGTTCTACCTTGTTTCATTGTTTCTTTTAAAATGTTGTGGATGAAAAGAAACAAAGTAATAATAATCAAAATGCACTTTGAAAAAAATGTGGCTGTCTTCTCTGGTCTTTATTATGTCTGCAGAGTTGAAACTGTTTTTATAATGGAGGTTTTCAAATCCATTCAGTGGTTGAAGTTTTAATTTTATGCAAATCTGTTTAGTGATTTAAAGTACAATATAAACAAGAATCAAACAGATGAGAGAACATTTTGATCTTGAATTGCTTGTTGACATCTCTTGGCAGGATCAAGGCGATTGAAAGTGCGACGAAGGACGATGACACAAAGTGGCTGACGTACTGGGTGGTCTACGGACTCTTCAGTGTGGCAGAGTTCTTTGCTGATATCTTCCTCTCTTGGTTCCCTTTCTACTATATTGGAAAGGTCATTGAATGCCTCCTATTGTTTTGTCTTTTTAGTTACCATCAATGGTTGATAAGATGACCTCTGTCTCTGTTCGCAGTGTGTCTTTCTGGTGTGGTGCATGGCTCCCACTCCTTCTAACGGCTCAATCCTGATCTATCAACGGGTCATTCGACCGCTCTTCCTCAAGAATGAGGCCAAGATTGACGATGCAGTGAAGAACATCAAGGACAAGGCGTCAGAAGCAGCTGACAAATTCAGAGACGAGGGTCAGTATGGAATATTGTTGCTGCTTATTAAACTCTACATAACTCAATTGGCTTTTAACTCTTTTCTTCTGGGTTTTTCTCATCATACCTCAAGTAATAGGTTTTTTTTTTTTTGCATCAAATTTTCTTAATTGCAGTATAAAAGCACCATCTTCTCTATCACATAATCAAACATTTAGATCCTGTACCTTAGCTAATATCTGATAAACATAGGGTTTTATGTCCCTGAATGCTAATGTCAGGGACATGTTTGGTTGCTTGATGGTCATGAGAACCAGCAGTATTTTTACTTCATTTTCTAAAATATTGATACAGTTCTCTGCTGGTGTCTAAATACCCATTGGACTGTTCTACATTTTGTGACGTTACAACCACTGAATGCACTAAATGTATCTGACTGGGACTCTATTGCTGCGTTTCCATTACAATTGTATGGAAATCTTTATCAATCTGCTAATATGAAAAAAACCACACAATTTTGCAGTTAGAGTATTTCAATTAAATAGGAAATAACATTAAAATCACACGTGAACAAGCTTATTCACGTGATAAGTTATTCAAAAACTGCAACAGATGTATACAGTTACATGACATGTATTTATAGTTCAGCCATGTTCTAACATTTTGACAGATTGTCTCTCATTCTGTCACAGCATGGTGACAATTTTAACACATCTGTAAAAAAATAAAAAATCAATTTCATAAAACCTACTTCAAGTTGTTGCTCTATTATTGTATTGAGCTAAAACTCATGATCAATATGAACTCCCCTGACAAGAACTGTGTTGCTTAAATCATGATATTCCCAATTCCTCCACAGCTAAGAAAGCCACAGCAAACCTCATCTTCGAGGAGAAGAAAAACTTCTAAGACTGATGCCTTCGCACACCTCTGGCTCCGGGCCCGACTGTGGTACAGAAGCTAAATGTTTTTTGGTCATCACAATCTACATGCTGGATGTGTCTCATTTAAATCAGTCTTGCATTTATTGAAGAATTAAAGATGTTTCCCACATCCGTTAATCTGTATATGTATTCATTGGCGTGTGCTTCATGACCCAAATAAAAGAGATACATTGAAGTTGTTTCTCATTCTTTGGATTTTTTTGGCTGATTTGTTGTGCAAAGTAGCAAAAGATGAGCAATAAGCAGCCAAGTGTGCTTTTGATTACGGGAGGAAGAAAAAATATCCAGAGAGAACACATGCATGTACTAGGAGAACACAGGCTGCAGGGGAACAGTGCTAACTTCTGCTCCACTCTGAATCCTCATCACTGCTTGATATATTACAGGATTTTAAAGGGCACACTACAGCAAGCTTAAGGCAGGTTGACATACTTAATTTGGCAACAGTGATCATGTTGCCAAATTAAGTACAACTAAATCTGGCATGATTTAGGTAGATGTTTTAGTTTTGTTGCTAAGCATTTACTCTTCTCACAAAAATGAGGAAGTTTACTGATGAGTCATGCATTGTTTAGCAGTAGTAAATGGAAGCAGCTGAAAGTTTCACTTTCCAACCTATAACCGCCACATGTCTACACCACAAGCGCTGAGGCTGAGATGCTTTAAAGAGATGGTTATGCAGAATCAGCTCTTTTTTAGCTTTACATCATGGTATAATGCCATTCCTCCATCACAAATACATCTGGAGTGTTGTCTTGATTCTTTCATGTAAGTTTGAAAAAAAAAAAAAAAAACAATCTGCATGACAACCATGCAGTTTCACGTTTCCAAGCTTCTTCCTCACAGAACAGTTCTTATACACTCTGCTCCTTCAGACTAGCCAGCAGCAATTAGCACCTGATATAACTGTGCATCAGCAGAGCTCATATTTTCCCAGAGCAACGTTGCTAAAGACGTTAAAGGGTTAGTAGAGGAGCCATGTTGTGATGACTTCCTGAAGACAGTTTCAGAAAGAGCAGAAGTTTTTAAAGAGACAGAGGCCTAATCTCAAGTTGTTAAATAAGAAATTAACATTTATTTTAAATCATATTTGTTTTATATATCATTTTTATAAAGACTGAAGTTAGCATGGTTACTTGATTGTGCTATGAAAAACACATAATGCTTCCCGTTTAACATGATAAAAGGTTGCTCATATTTTATTGCAAAGTGGTGACAGTCTTACTCCTCTACACCTACGGACTGTGATGAAATGAGTCTTAATGTTTGTACGTTAGTCTCATTGTTTCGATGTTGTTTTCTATCTGGGTTCAGGTGAATGTATGATAAACATTATTAATGTAAAAAGTACTCCCCCTCCTCTGTTGTTTTATCCTTCTGTTGCTTTTATAAATGATCAACAAGATTGGGCTTTTTTGATAACAAACCAAAGATTACAAAAAAAAAAAACTCTTAAAGTTAAAATGAAAATGTATTTATACAAAATAATATCAAATAATGAAACACAAAATGAGTGATTGCATAAATAACACCCCCTTGTGACTGACCTCATTCAACAGAGGTCTGGCCAGTTGGTGCTAGTTGAAGTTGGACTGTTGCTTTTACCAACATGAGATCTCAAGTGTTTTACATGTTGATATTGTTAGCAGTTAAGAATGTAGCCATTCTAGTACAAAAGTGAGTTGGTCTCCTGTAGGAACAAGTTCCTCTTCATTCCTTCTATCCGGGTTGTGTGCCATCTCACTGAGCTAACGGACTCTCACTGCTGAGAAAAAAAAGCCATGTGATCGCAGCATTGTTTTTTCCCCCCTGAGGGAAGTGATCCTGCCTCATGACCCAGAATGATGGGATAAGAAAAGCATGCAGCATAAGCCACCATATCAAAGCCAGAGTGGTGGAGCAGCATGCAGGCATGGAGCTGGATAAAACCTGTTTAGTGTTAGTTTCTGTTTGGAGAGTTTATTTCAACGGCATGTTTCCCAGACGAAAATGACAAAATGTAAGGAATAAATCAAATTATTCAAAACAACAAACCTCAAAACCTTACAAACTCATAGCCAAACAGTTATAGCAATCTACAGCTAAAATTATTATCATTATTATTATTATTATTATTTACAATAAAAGCCAACACAAAAACAACAGACAAAACAGACAGACAATCATAAACAGCAATGTTGTATAAATGTTTTATTATATGAGCCAAAATCATTAACTTCAAAGGATTTGGGACTCAAAATGAATTATCTTTTTAAAAAACTGAAAAAGAAAACAACCCGTGTTTTAGTTTTGATAAACCAAAAAGTAATAGATCTATTCCCCAACAACAGGCAAGATTTATTATTTTTATTCAACAAATACAGTTATACTTTTTTATTATTGGAAGGGAGTGCTGCAAATATAAAAGCTGAAAAGGGGTTATGCACATTTTCAAACTGTTACATAATTTGCACCCAGTTCACAAATTCTGCAACCCCCATAATAACTTTAGTAGAAGTTATTATGACGAGGACGGAAACCGGACTGGAAGCTTTCCTACCGACTATTGTAGCCGCAACTTTTTGTACACAGCGCCATCTGCTGGCCTTCCACTTTACCACAAGCACAAGACAAATAGATACTTTTTACCATCTCTCTCAGAGAGAATTATATATATATATAATTTTAGCTTTTTACAGCAAAATTGAAGGATTTTACAAAGAAAGACGGATGAAAGTGGATGTTGAATCAGTTTCAATTGACTTCAAGCCACTTTGATCAAACATTATTGCTTTATATTTATCATCTGTAACTTATACCATGACTCAGCGCAGTTTCCAATTTATGATCTGAAGAAGAAAAAGTCCAGTATTAAAACTCACCTCTGAGACAAATCAGAAGGTTTTACTGGACCAGATTTGGACTTTTCAGCTCAGATTAATGAGATTTCAGCTCATTAATCTGAGGTCTGCTGACCTTCCTTCATTATTCCTGGAATAAAAGTGATGTGTTCTAGCTTCCAATGTCTAAATGATAGGTTGGTTCAGATGTAAGGTTTGAACATTACATTGGTTCTAAAATGGGTACAGAGAGTGAAATAAGAAATAAAAGCCTGATAGAACTTTCTCCATCTTTAATGTCATTGCTGATGCTTTGTTCCTCTGTTTAACCAGGAGTTATTGAGAGATGGAACTGAATCAGTCAAAGTATTAGTGTAATGGTAGATTTATTACACCTCTTTTGCAGTTTTATCTGCAGTGAAGGCATTTTCATCAGAGTACCTATCTCCCCTAAGAGAGTTATCATTACAACATTCTACAAGTCATTTTTAGATTTTATTTAGAATCCACAGAATAGAAAATGTTTTTTTTTTTTTTTACAATGTTGACAACATACAACGACACAGGAAGTCTGACCTTTACAAGAAAATAATTCAAGTGACAAATATTCTCCTCAGGTTTCTGCAGCGATTTCTTGTTGAAAGACACATGAAAATAAATACTCCCCGAAAGACTGGTGAATGGTCGAAATTGAAAAACCAGGAGTCAGATTATACAGTTTGCTGTCCTCATGTCTAAAAAATCCCAACAGCGCCATCTCGTGTTTGTGTTCTATCTATCCGTTCCAGAGCCGTGTGTCAAAGGTCAACAGGAGGGCCGAACAGTTCCATGGTCTCCACAACGAGCGACAGGTGGTCGAGGAAGGAGTTGACGGATACTCTGAGGATCCGAGCTTCATCTGCGCTCCACCTCCTGAAACACAGCCACAGACGGTCAGAGAAGAGGCAGCAGGCCAACCGGCGGCTGAACACAAACACAAACACTCCAATCGCTCACACAGACAGCGTGCTGCCAGACACGCTCAGCTGCTTGCTGATGCCGCCTCTCCTCGGCTCCCGGTCCGGGGACAGGGACCTCAGGGCCACGGTGGCCTCACGAGACGACGGGAAGGGGACGTCCAGGAAGCTGCAGGGCGGTCAAGGAAGACTGGCTGAGTATGTCTGCATTGCTACTTGATAAAGTTTAGAGCAAGTACGACAGCATGTTTTTACTCCGAATCATTACTTCTTCCTTTCACTCAACTTTCCATGAACACGCTTAGATACCACACTTTGTAACAATCACCTTCTTTGGCTTTTTTTTTTTACTCATTTCACTTTTTGAAATGGGTAACAAGAATATTATTTTTAGCTGCATCTCATCCCAGGTGTGTGTGCCTCGTGCCAACTAAAATGCTGTGAACTAACCAATCAGAAACCTACAAAGCAAAGACGGATTCCCTCAGTAATCACTGTGTGTGTAATATATATGCTTTCCTCTCTATTATTGGGACATTTCCAAAATATAAATAACTTCAACAGTCCTGACCGACCGAAACCAGGCGTAGTTTAATGCCAGGCAGTGAGAAAAAGCTCCTCCACTCCTAAAGATGCCCAAAGAACCACCGACACCAGAACTCTTCATTAACAGAACCGAACCGAGTTGCAAGCAAGCAGTCCTGAAATCTAAATCCTGACGTTTCAGCGGAAGCACCGCCACTGCAGTCCGCATGTGAAATAAAAGGATACAACTGCAGCTTGCCGGTTTCTTGGTTTGTTGCTGTCGCCATTGTTGTTGGACTGAACTGGGAGAAGAAGAAACGTTTTCCACGTGAATGGCGGTGTGCTACTGCCCCCAGCGGCGAGGCGCAGCAGCGCAACTGCAAATGCGGGAAGAAAACCAACTTACAGCCGAAACATTACAGCAGAAAACGGATGAATTGATCCTTTGTGGGAAAAAATGTCAGAATAATAAAAAGCACCTGTGTCTGAAGCAAAAGGGTACAGATAACACAAAAATGCATGGCAAACTATGTGTGCACCTATAAATACAGCCATGGTATTAAATTCATTACATCATAAAGTTTTTAAATTACTGCTGTGCACAAAACTACATATTGTGATTTGTATATAAAATAAAATTTCACATTTTCAGTTCACAATTAGCGTTTGTTCTACTAATTATAGAAGAATATTTAATGTAAGTGTTTGTGAAGCTCTGGATGTCGGCCTGGTCCTCTGCAGCGCTCTCACTCCTGAATAAGATACAGTGTTCTCTGATGGCTAATAGATGATGAGCCATGATTTTTAATGACATCATGTGACCATACTTACTCTCGTGTAATTTTAATTTTATTTTTTTCAGTTTTATTTCATTTTTAGTTTTTTTTTTTTTTTTTTCGAAATTATGGAATATAGACAAAGATTTGCGGATATTTGTGATGGAGATGCAGCTATTGTTATGAAAGTTGAACACTGACACAAAGTGTCACATTTCAGTACTTCCTATGAAAAGATAAAAAATATATATATTTACAAAAACATGAGAAATGTATGTCACACTTGTGAGATACTCTATATAGTTAATCAAAATTCATTATTCAACAAGGAAGGATTAGTTTTTAAATTGGGATGATAGCGTTTATCCCTTAATAATGACATTTGTACTTAGAAACTTGATTTTGTATGTACTCAGATCATCTGTGATGATAAATCAAAGGTAACAGAAAGTGAAAACAACAGAACTTTTCCCAGCACTGAAAACTGGATCTATCTTGATTAAAAACAGAGCCAGTCTGCGGAAACATCAGAGGCTCTGAACAGTGTTTTTCCGTGGAGCTGGCTGAGGAGATGGGAGTTGAGGGGGTGGATGTGGGTGATGCTTATCAGCGCCCGGTGACCTCTGGGCTTCCTAAGGCTCGCAACTTCCTGTGGTCAAAGCAGGCTGCATGTGGAAACATCAGCTCCTCCGCCAAGTCTCACACTTCACTGATATCTGACCCTCAGATAAGACACACACTGTTTTCCACATCTCACACACAAAAACAGCAGCCCTGCATCAGTTCCTGAAGCAGATTATAGAGGATGTCAAGGGGTCAAATAGGACCTGAGGGGTCTTGATACTCACTTCCAAAAAAAAAACAAAAACAAAACTTGAATAGTCTGAAAAACAGCAATTAAATAGAAATAGTTCTACAGACAGGATTCATAAAGGTAAAAAAAGTTAATCAAGTTAAAGAACAGCCCTTCTACCATCATTAGATCTCCTTCATTGAGGAATATGCCTCAGGATGTTAACTTCCAGCTCACATTGCAGAAACTTATGGATTCATTCAATACATAAAATCATTTAACTGATGAGGAAAATGTTTGTCTGTTTGTCCAAATGGGATTTACATGTTTCTAAATCAAGCCAGTGCAGATGAGGCTGGTGTCATGTTTAAGATCATCAGGAATAGTTCATATATAGCAAACTCAAAGAAACCCAGTAAACAAACCGTTACAGTTTTTGCGAAATAAACCAATTTTGACACGACCAAGTGAAAACTCCACCTCATCCTATGCCAAAACTTTCAGAATTGGGTTCTACTTACAGTTGCAGAGTGACTTACAAAAATAATACATAAATAATACTTTTAGAATTATTTGTACTATGCTGTACATTTTACTTTTACTTACATATGTGTATTCCTGCTGATCGAATGAGATTAAAATTTCTGGATAGTTTATCCACTGTGAGTTACCAAAAATTCACACAAGGGTGGAGTTTTTATAAAAGTTTCATAAGTTTCATATAGAAAGAAATTTCTATAGAAAACTTCTTTTGCCTGGTTTTGTTTTTGATTTACGTCATCGATATGAGTCGTTTTCATTTTGGTCCTTCAAACACCTACATTTCCACAAAACTATTGATCTGATTTTGTTCTTAAATATTGAATGAGTGAAGTTTTGATCAGTTACTCAGTTCTTCTGTAGCCTTTTTACCAAAGCCTTGTTCGGGTAAGAATGTGTGGAAGTAGAGCAGTTCTCATTGGGTCAGATTTCTGGCTCTTCATGACGCACCACGCAGGAAACGCGGAGAACGTGACGGGAATCAGATCCACCAACTGAAGTCAAAAACCTGTTTTATGTAAATGAAGTTCCGTGGCTCACGTGAGATGTATCCGTTTTAATTACGTCCCTGTAGGGATTTTCTTTTCAAATGTCGAAAACATGTTTGTTAAGTATTTGATGAAGCGCAAAGACCGAAGAAAGTTTACCGTAACACGTGCTGCGTGGTGGAAATATCCAATTAACCGCGGGGGTTAATTGCACACATGAATAAACCACGAGCTGACCGCCGCCTGGAAACGGCGCGCTGTGATTGGTTCCCTCAGACCGGGCTCAGTATAAATACCCGCTGTGGAGTTAGAGGAGTCACGAAGACTGAGCATCTGGAATCAGCTGAGAACCAAACACCGCCTCCTCGTCTTTATTTTTATCTTCATCATCAGCAACGTAGAAGAAGATGCTGCGCCGCTCCGCTCCGCTCCTCCTCCTCTGCTCCCTCTGCCTGGCCGCCGGCTTCCAGATGCCGCCGGAGGAGGCCGCTCCCCGCCGGGCGCGCTTCTCCTCCAACAGCCCGAGTGAGTGTCTGCTCGCCCCGCTGCCTCTCACTGCTCCTCCCGTCCTCCTGCAGGCCACGCATGGTTTGACATTTGTTTTAAAGTTTGTGTCACAACCTGGAGAATTCCACCGTTCACTTGTTAATAATTTTAAGAGCATTATTTTCTCATTGTAATTATTTTCTTGAGATAGGCTATATTATAATATATCTTATCTGATAATATAAGAAGTCTACCACATTATCTCTCTGTAGTGCAGCGGAAATAATTTCACGGTCTTATGAGATATAGTATAAAAAAAAGACAAAATAGTTGTAACAACCATAATGAGCCCTTTCAGAATTGCGTCTTATTATTTTTAAGCGCTTCATTGATACTGAATAGAGATAACTTTGAATGATCTGCTCAGTATTAACTTCCACACTGAAAAACATTGGAAGATTTTTTTCCCCATAGGTAAACAGAAAAACAGTGTTTTGCGTTGCTTAATATTTAAGCTCATATGAAAAAAAATGGCGTTTTGAAAATGTAAGCCAAAGAAAAATATTGAATTTCAGTCATAACGTAATGTTTTGTAAGAAATGTAGCAGCAGTTAGCAGTCGAAACGTGAAGCCTGAAGTCTGGAAATGTTTTTATCATGTCCACCTTTACTTGATTAGTCTGCTTATTTAGAATATCCATAGTCACTGTAGGACAACAAAACAACCCACACATTTAAAGAGGAGTGAGTGTTTGTCATGCAGTTTTCCTGTGAAACTTCTCCTCTGAACCTGTCGCTGCAGCCGATGTGGCCAGATGTTTGAACGGCGCCGTGGCAGTGGGCTGTGGATTCTTCTCCTGCCTTGAAAACTCCACCTGCGACACAGACGGGATGCACGAGATCTGCGAGCTCTTCTTTCACGCTGCGGCCACCTTCAACACAGAAGTGAGTCCCTCCACCCGGCCCCCGCCTGGGTCAGGCCCCAGTTCACCCGGCCGGGTCTCAGTCTGACTTGTGTTGCCATTCTTCAGGGCAAAACTTTCGTGAAGAAGAGTCTGCAGTGCATTTCCCAGGGCATCTCTAACAAAGTCTTCCAGACCATCCGTCGCTGTAACATCTTCCAGACGATGATCGCTGAGGTTTGTAGGCCCAGAAATGTTAATGTTGATGTGTGATTGTCCTCTGAAGCAGGATTCTGGTTTTTATAATCACTGGAAGTCATGGCTTATGTTTCTTTTCATTGTGTTCCACTATTTTTATTGCTGGTAAACTACAGGCTGCTGGCTTTACCACATTTGCAAAATATGAACAGCCTGTTTGCTCAGCATGTTAGATTTAAACTGTCACTTTTAAATTTGGATGCTACATCTTAACCTGATTTATAGCGGATATATTATGTCTTCAAATCCCACTGTTTCACATATAAATCATTAATTTATGGTCTACATGAAACAAAACTGCACTGGTGCAGTTTTTAAATATGATTGAGACATTTCATGCACCGACTTGAGATCAAGTCGGTGCTGCCTCCTTATAATGTTAAGGAGGCAGCTAAAAGCTAGCACACAGCGCTAACAGAAGCAGAAGGCTCAATGCTACTGTCATTCTGTGCTAGTTAAAGTTTGAGTGATATTGTGGTCAATTATTCAAACTCATGAATGACATTGAAAGTCCTCAAACTCTGTTGGTGTTGCAACTTCAGTCATGGAATCAGGCCCATTTTTATACTTCTGTACTACAGTGGGGTTTTCAATCACTCTGTTCCCACCTTGTCAAGGTTCAAGAGGAGTGTTACACCAGTCTGGACATCTGCACTGTGGCCCGGACAAACCCAGATGCCATCGGAGAGGTGGTGCAGGTTCCCACTCACTTCCCCAACAGGTGAGTTCTGACATCGTCAATAAGACGTAATGAAGCCACAACTGTAACAATACTGAGCTAAACTTAGTTATCTGATATCTTACCCCAGACTCATGTAGGTCAAACGGATTCCACCTATGAATTTCTTTTATCTTCTTTTGTTACATGACTGTCCGTTTTATTTACATTACGCAGCATTAAGAGTTACAGGAGTTTACATGATTAGAGAGTTCTCTGACTATTCAAATGTGGCTAACTACAAAACTATAATTACACCAACACAAATCTGAGGAGCTCCACTTTGGTTTTAGCCAGTAGGGGTCACTGTTTGCACAGTTTGTCTGAGCGTCATACAACATCCATACAAGCAACAGAACAACTCAGAGAAATATGGCAGGGG